GGCAATGAAATTCCAGGCTGGCCAGTGTCGCTAGTTCCTTCCTGGGTCTGCATAAACAAGAGACAGAGCTATCTGGGGATTTTCCTCATCACAAATAACAAGAAGCTGACCTCAAGCTAGACCTAACCATCTTTGACATTAAAAAAAAAAAAAAAAAAAAACAAGAAATAGAGACAGTTTTGTGGATTCCAGGGGCTCTGAGTGCTTGCAGGGCAGTTTATATGGCAGCCTCCTTCCCCATACGTATAAGACTGAAATTCAACCATTCAAGGACCATTTCTCCTCTCTGCCTTTTTCCATGAGCTCTGAAATTCTTATGGCAGCTGTCAACTAACATTTCCTCCTAACATACCCTGCCCCCCAAACACTTATGTGCCAACTGGGTAATACACGTCTGCAATCCCAGCACTCAAAAGGCTAAAGACTGCTCAAGAGTTGGAGGCAGGGTTGGAAAAAAGGCTCAGTGCCTAACACCACATACTGGCCTCCCAAAGAACCTGAAATATTCCAAGCAATAGATAAGTATGAGAGGCCCTATGTCTATATCCATCAGGATATTTGGTTTGCCCTGAGGTGCTGCTCTTCTGTAGGTGATTGATAAATAAATAAATAAATAAATAAATAAATAAATAGTGCCTCAGAAGGAGATCAAGCTCAAAGTAAGCCACTGAGGGAAGCCTGACTCAAAAAGGCCATCTATAGTGAGCCCATAGTTCAGGTCTTGTCTTCACTTCCTGCTAAGCATAGAGGTATCTCAAATTATTCCTGAGGTTCCCCCTTCTGAGCCCCACCTTCTTGATCAAGATTTCCCTACTCTGTGCTGGGACCGACAGTGATCCCTCAGAACTGCACAGACCATCACAGTTTCTGGGCTGAGTGAGACGAGACTCTAGGCCCCCTTCAGGTTTTCTGACACCTAGAATTCATCCTTTTCCCCCTTTAAAAAAAAGTCATATGTACACGACATTCAATAAACTGTTAATCTTTCACCAAATACGTCTAAAAACTAGCTCCAATGAGGAAGCAAGATTAAAATCATTTTGTAAACATTTATCCTTTCTTAATGTTGGAAAGATAAACGTTTTTCTTTTTCCATGACTATTTTTAGCATGAAGGAAGGAACTGGCCTTTGGAGACAAGACTGGAGGCAAGATTTTTCCCCTCAAATCTCGCCCTCCATCATCCTTCCCTTCTTTCCATCTTTTCTCTGTGGCTCACGTGAGCCTCACGAGCCACACCAGCAGAAACCTAACTCAAACAAGCAAAATAAAAAGATGGGTGTTGGAAGGCACAGAAAGAAGTCCACATCATAAAGGCCAGCAAAGTGCTGAGTCAGCAAGGAGACTCAGTCTTCAAGGAAAAAACAAGGGGCCAGGTTTGGTATCACATGCCTTTAATACCAGCACTCATGAAGCAGAGGCCTATGGATCTTTTGCTAGTTCCAGGCCAGCCTAGTCTACATACCCCATCTCAACAAAACACAAACAAAACCAAAACACCAATCATGGAGGAACAACCTCCCTGTCTAGTGGCTGCTCAACCAGCAGGTGGGGCCCTTGGGAGAGAATGATGTAGGAAGATATCAAGTTCAAAGCCTGCCTGAGCTACACAGTAAAAACTCTATCTCAAAATAAAACAAGTAGAGGATAGGGATATGGTTCAGTTAGTAAAGTGCTTGCCATCCAAGCATAAAGACATGTCAGGATCTCCAACATCCACATGAGAAAGCCAGGAACAGCACCAGTGTACATCTGGAATCCCAGCACTGGAGAACTGGTGAGAAAGAGTTCCAAGTTCAGTGAGAGATCCTGTCTCCAAAAATGGTAGGATGGGGCATGATTGAGGAAGGCATCTGACATCAACCTCTGGTGTGTGCATGCGTACACAGAAACCATGTGCATACATACACATCTGTGTGTCCAAATACACATACACGAACACATATATACATCACATACAAAATATGAACTAATTAAGCCAAGCATAGAACTTGTCATCCCAGCATTTGGAAAACAAAGACAAATTTTGAGGCCAGCCTGGTCTACAGAGCTAGTTCCAGAACAGGCTCCAAAGGTACACAGAGAAACCCTGTCTCAAAAGGAAGAAAAAAGTAAAATTGGAGTTTTGGGGTGTAGTTAATTCCATGGTAGAGTACATTCCTCAGTTTCACACACAAACAAGTACATGAAAACATAACGTGAGAGCTGGAGAGGTAGTTGAGCTAGCAAAGTCCTTGCAGCACAAGCAGAAGGACCTGAATTTAATCCTCAGAAGCCAGATAAATGCTGTGCAAACTGGCCAGGCAGTGGTTGTGCACACCTTTAATCCCAGCACTCAGTAGACAGATGCAGGCGGAACTCTGTGAGTCTGAGGCCAGCCTGGTCTACACAGTGAGTTCCAGGACAGCCAGGGCTACACTGACCCTGTCTCAGTGGGAAAGAAGAAAAGCTGCGCAGAGGTAAACACTAGGTCACCAGCTTGGCCTCACTGGAGAGCCCCTGGCCAATGAAAGAATTTGTCTCAAAATCCAAGGTGGGGTCTAGGCATGCTGGTAAGTGACTTTACTTTAATTCCCAGCACTTGGGAGACAGAAGCAGCAGATCTCGAGTTCAAGGCCAACCTGGTCTACAAAGCAAATGTCCAGGCTCATGAGAATTACATGATGAGATCCTGTCTCAAAAGGAAAAAAAAGGGAGGGGGGACTGGGAAGAAGGCCCAGTAGGTAAAGTGCTTGCTGCATAAGCTTGAGGACCCAAATTCAGATCCTTAGGATCCATGAGGGTATTGTGGTATATGCCTATTATCCTAGAACTGTGAAGTAGAGACAAGGAAGATCCCCAGCACTCACTCACTGGTCAGGTGGTTTATATTAAGTCCAGTTAAGTCCAGTGTGTATAAACTGGTGAGCTCCAGGTTCAATAAGAGGCCCTGTTTGAAAAGCAAATAAAGTTGAATATCAACTTCTGGCCTCCACATGCTCACACATCTGCACACACATGCACAGACACACACACAAATTAAAACCAACATGGACAATACCTGAGAAACTGTACCAGAAGTTGTCCAATGACATGAAAATGTACACACATGAATATGCGTGCACACGCGCACACACACACACACACACACACACACGACTGTTTAAATAAGTCTACCTGTGTGAATTATTTCAAAATCAAAAGACAGCCCTACAAAAACTACACCCAAATTCCTACATTTTTTACGAAAACTTCACTAAGTAATACCAGAACAGCCCTGGGCAACCGAACCTTTGCACATTTAACTCTGTCCAATAAGACATGTTAATTTATTAGTTTAGTTCCATGTGCTGTTTGAATCCATAAAATGGACTCCGATAGACCAGAAGTGTTTTCAGCTAATTCAAGTCTAAGGACACATACACACACGTGACTCAGTGGCAAAGCTATTTAAGAAAATAATCCCTGCACCATGGTCTGCCTTCCAAGAAGTTGAAAGACAACTAATACTGATAGACAGATTTCTATCAACATTTAATGAAGATCTCAGGGGGCAGGAAAACAGAATGAAATTTACAGACCTCTTGTCTCAAATGGGAAAGTTCACATTTAGATAGATAAGAAGGCAGAGAAAGACCAAGTTTAAGGGCTGGGCCATGGGATTCACATGCCCTTACCCACCCCCCATGTATGAGTGCATGTCAGTTTCCAGCCAGGCCATGGTGGTGCACACCTTCAACCCCAGTACTTCGGAGGCAGAGGCAGGTAGATCTCTCTGAGTTTGAAGGCAACCTGGTCTACAGAGTTCCAGGATATCCAGGGCTACAAAGAAGCCCTGTCTCGGGGGGAAAAAAAATGTCAATTTCCTTGGCTGGAAAATGGAAACAGTGAATATAATCCACAGCAGAAAGTTCTATAAAGTCCTCATCACGAGATAATATGATGATAATGATAATGTGATAAGGGGTTTGGTGCCAAGTCTGACAACCTGAGTTTGATACCCAGTACCCACATCAGGGAAATAAAAAACTCACTCCTACAAGTTGTCCTGACTTACACACACACACAGAGACACAAATAAATGAAAATGTAATTTTAAAAAAATAAAATATTCATTGCAGGGACACTGTGGTAAAATCTATTTCTTTATTCACACACCAAAATTCACAATTTTTTGTTGTTGTTTTTTCTCTTGAGGTAATAGGAATTGAATCAAAGGCCCCATGCATTCGGAACTGAGACATGCACTCTGCAACCAAGCTGTTGCTTCTTTTTCTACCTCTTCAATGTTAAGATTACACCCATAGCTGGGGACTGAACACCAGGCCTCTTGATGGCTAGGCAAGTAGCCTGGCAACTGAGCTATATCCTTAGCCTCTTCTTTTGATTTTTCTATATGTATAGAAAGATGCTCAAAAAAATTACAGGAGTTCACAGTCCAGCAACTGGTCAATTGGGGGGCTCTTTTATAGTTCAGATAAAAACACAGACACTGATATGTAAAACTGGTATTCAAGGAGACGGTTCAGTCAGTACAGTGCGGACATGAGTTTAATCCCTGGAGACCCATGTAAAAATGTGGTTGCTGCAGCCTGCGTCTATAATCCCAACAGTGAAGAGAATTCTTAGGATTTGGGGGTCAGCCAGTCTAGCCAAATTAGTGAGCTCTGGGCTCTGTGAGAAATGCTGCCTGAAAAAATAACGTCGATAGCTATCAATTTAAGACGCATATCAACCTCTGACTGCCACCATGCATACACACATGCAACCAGAAACACAAGTGCAAAAACATCTACATACACATGAGGACACACAAAAACATACTTCAAGATCATTTACAATTCCACAGCCCTACACCACCTACTAAAGCACACAAACTTAAGACGTAGAGATAAATATATAAAACTTGAAGGTATTTCTAATTCTCTGGACTGATCTGATCGTCCTGGTTACTTTCCTGTTGCTTTGAAGAGATAACATGACCATGGCAACTTGTAGAAGGAAAAACACATTGGGACTTACAGTTTCAGAGGATTAATTAGTCCATAACCGTCCAGCATGGCAGGGAGCATGGCAGCAGGCAGGCATGACACTGGCGCAGTAGCTGAGAGCTTACATCTGATCCACAAGCACAGGGAGAGAGTGAGCTAACGGAATGCTGTGGGCCTTTGAAACCTCAAGGCCCACCTTCAATGATACGCAAACTCAACAGGACCACACTTCCTAAACCTTCCAAAAAACATTTCCACCAACTGGGAAACAAGCATTCAAATATATGAACAAACGGAGGTATTCGCATTTAAACCACAATAATCTTGGATCAAAGGCAATTGTCAGCAGCCCACAGATCCTGGTAGCCCACCCTTACTGAACAGCAATCAGCCCCCATTTCCAGTGTCCCCCAAAGGCCTTGCCTTGGTGTGACTCTCTGGACCTAGCAGAGTACCCAGCATTTACCCAACAGCAAAACCGAGGTAATTTTTAAATGAGTATTTATCTAATACCATAAAAGGGGTAAAATGCCTTCCTTTTTCTTTTAGTAGTACTGCCAAAATGGAGTTCTCCAACCCGAGTAAGAAGGTATCCTGGGGTAGATGGGAGCCTTACACCCCAAATCATCCATACCAGTCCCCACAGGTGTGGGGGGGGAGGGAGGAAGGGAGGGAGGGAGAAAGAGAGAGAGAGATTAAAGGCTTGAAAAGCTTTAGGGGGCCATTTTAATAAGTGGATCGAGTGAATTTCAACTTTCATCGTTGTACTAATTACCCAGGTGGATGGATGGTTCCATGGAAATCTGCAGCACACTTGGACACGAAATCCCTTTAAAAATAAAAGCGCCATCTACACTCAACACTCTTTCATTTCTTCTATGTGTCTTCTAGAAATGACTCAAATGGTAAATTTCTTAGAGCCATCAAGACCCATTTGCTATCCTAAACTGACGCCTGGGGGAAAAAGGTGCTTGCTCCTCTTACAGTCAGTCCTGTGTCCTCTTTCAAGTTAAACCAGGGACTAGCTCCGAGCAAAACACAAGTCAGGTCAAGGCGCACACACCAAAGCAGAACAGAAACAAACACTTGCACTAGCAGTGAGGCTTAGGTTTTGGTTGGGGGGGGAGGCTGTTTTAGGTTTTGCTCCACAACACTTGGTAGGAGCTGACCCTAACTGCGGAATTTACAGTGCGTAGGGCTTTGAGAACGCCAGACACTGCAAAAAGAAAAAGAATAAAGAAAAAAAAAGAAAGGAAAAAAAAAAAAAAAACAAGCCCTGAGCTCCTGATTGCGCACTGGTCACGCACGTGAAGCCCAGGCCTCATCCAGCACCGGCGGGCCTCCAGCCTCCCAAAGTTGTCACAAAACCCGGAGATCACCAATGTTCAAAGGCGCACCCCTCCCACATAAACTCCCGCTCCCAGCACCCGTCTCTGCGTAAGGGAAATTCCTAAGACGGGGATGTGGGTGAGGGCAGATCTGGAGAACCCCTCCCCAGCCCCAAAGCAACAGGTTTACACCCTCCCCAGGCCGCGCGGGGCGGTCCCTCACCCTTACCTAGCCGGGGGAGCCGCCCTTCACCGGTGTCAACCCCCCAAGCCTGGTCCCGAGACGAGATGTGTGGAGAGAGGGCTCCTGGACTTCCTTGACAGTTTGTGCCTCGGAAACTGAGCACAGGCGGGCCAGCCTCTCTCCCCCGCGCGCCGCCGCGCGTCCACTGGGTTCCGGGAGCGCCGGCCCGCGCCTCGAGGATGAATGGGGCTCCCCTCCCCCACAAGGGGATCCCGCTCGGCCCCCAAGTCCCAAAGCGACCCAGGTCAGCCCAGCCAGCCCCCTCTGGGGCCGCAGACAAAGAGATGCAGGGACTAAGCGGCAGCGCTTCCCTAAACTTGCTTGTCCCCCTCCCCAAAACAAAGGCGCACCCAGGCCTTTCCCGCCCCCCGCGCGCGCGGCCACTTTGGGGAGCGGCCGCCCCGGAGGTATTGTTCAGCATGCAGGGAGCGCGCCAGCCCGGGGGTGGGGGGGGCACGCGGGAATTTGCCCCTCCTGGAGCTCCAGGGTCGGACCTCCGCGTTAGGGGTCACCGCCAAGCCCCTGGGCCCGAGAAGTTTGCGCCCCTGCCCGGCGTGCACTCACCTCGCCGCGAGCCGTGCAACTTGTGGCCGCGCTCTGTGCGTACTGGCGGGTTCACCGTCACCAAGCCCTGGCCACGCAGAGGCCAACGAGGGCCAGGCGCCCCAAAGCAGCCGCGCGCCGCCCCCGGCCCGCCACCGAGTCCCCGAGAAGAGCGGGCGCTGGAAAGTTTCGGTGGCGAATGGCGGCCGGAGGGCGCTGCAGCGGCGGCGGGGCGGGGGCGCTGGCGGCTTGTCGCTCCCGAGCGTCGAGACTGGGGGGGCTGGGCTGGGAGCGGCGGCGGCGGGAGAGGGCGGGACGGCGGGAGGGACCGACACGGCCAAGTGACCTCCGCTGGGAGCGGACGCGAGCGCGCCTACCCTGGTTGGGAGACGTGCCAAGGGGGTCGCCAGCACGCCGCCCTCCCCAGACACCTGGAGGAGGCACTCTTCAGATCAACCCTCCCCGACCGCGTCCCCGCCGGCCCCTCCCCCTAGCGCCTGGGGGGGGGGGCGCGTCCCCACGCGGCAGCCCCTCCCCCACTAAGGGCTAGGACGCCAGGCCCGCCCTCACCCCTACCAAGTCCAGACCCAGCCCCCCGGGGGCAGGGAAAGACTTACATCCCTGTAGTTCTTCACCCTAAAGCCTCCCCACCCCCACTCCACTCCGCCCCACGCCCAAGGTGGAGGAGGGAAGCCCAAGCATTGCCCTCTGGGCCCCAACACGGTCTCTAGCTTTTTTTCTACAGGCTCCGAGAGGAATGAGGGGAACAGGGCCCCCACAAACATACCCAATCCCAAACCCTGGCACTCCAAGGTGGCTTTGAGGGGGATGAGAACAAGGGCCACCCTGCAGGTTGGGGGAGGGAATGGTAACCCAAGCCACTGAAAGTGTTACCATCCCCCACCTCAAAGATGAAGCTGCCCAGCTGGCCTAGGAGGTCCTCGTGCAACCCGTCTCCAGGAACATCTCCTTCAAAACTAATGATTTAAAGCCCCCCCCCCCCCAAGTTGCCTCTACGCCCACCCACAAAAAAAAAAAAAAAATGAGGACTCGGGCGCAGCCATGACCTTTGCAAAACACCTCCCAGCCAGGAATCAGAAAAGCAGAGAGGAGAAGCTTCAGAACAAGACGAAGACACAAATAAACTGGGGAGGGGAATGTTAGGGTACTGAGGTCCTTAGATCTGTAAATCCCCACCCCCAGGCCTGAAACCGCAGGCGCTGGCAAAGTGTTTTCTGTTGCCATGGCTGGTAAGGCCCAGCCGTGGTGCTTCTTCCTCGCTTCTTCCTCCCTTCCACATTGGTGACGATTCCCCCAACTCCCGGCTTTAATTCAATTAAATAAATATCCGGCCCTCCTCAGCACCTTTGGTGTCTGCCTTGTTGAGTATTTTTAAAATCAATTTGCCCCTCCCTTAGGCTTCTAATGAGCTTGGTGCTAAGAGCCCAGTAACACTCAGCAATTTAAACTCTAACCTCACTTGCTCCTTCCTTGAACACTAGGCATTTGTTGCTCTGGTGGTTGGGGGGAGGGGGGAGAACTCCGGGCGAGTTTTTAAGGGGCCGGTTCTCCATCATACAGGCGGACCTAAAAATTACCTTGCAAAATATTGCTGCGAAACGTCAAAGATGTCAAACGACTGTTGGTACACCGTTATTAGAGCGCATCAATAAAAAATACACACTTACACAGTCTCCATAATTGTGAATCAGCAGAACACTGGCTTATTAGCTATCGGCTGCCACTGAAGTCCCCCCACCCCAAAGGATTTGGTGGGGCTCCCTTGAGCCTGCCCTTCGTAGCTCCCGGGCTCCTGAGCTCGTGCAGACTGATGCTGAGGCTGAGGTATTACAGAAGGGTGCAATCGCAAACCCGAGCCCGCTCATGATGCAACCCTGGCCCGGTTTACACGTGCTTCCCTTCCCCCACTGCATGCTGGTGGTAGCACTGCGTTTTTTCCGCCTGTAGGGTCACATTGTGGTTGATTGATTCTCCTTTCGCCTTGCTCAGTCATTCAGATTTGGAAAGTAAATAACAAGTTGACATCATTACAGCTTCAGGCTTTACCCGGTCGTCAGCTCTCGGCTACCGCAGACCCTCGAGTAGCTGCGCATCAAACCCTACCCACCTAGCCTGCCCGGCTTGCCTTGTCCAAATTAGTGCTTGGTAATTCCAAACTGAAGTTGGTTAAAAGCTTCCCTACATGTTTCTATTACTTGGCAAGTAATGATCATTTTTAAAGAATGGGAAAGTGGTGGGAAAAAAAATCTCATTTTTCATATAGGGTGCAGAATGACTAGGTTTTATTACAGGCCTCCTCTGACTAAGGAAGTGAGAGGTTTGATTCTCTTTTGCCAGCACGATATAGTATGGCAATAATCCCAGTTCTTGCTTTTCGACAGTCAAGGACTAGGGATGTGGAGAGAAGGCTCGATGATTAGGAGCACTTACTCCTCCTACAGGGGACTAAGGTTCAGTTCCTAGCACCTTCAAGACAGTTCACTGCCGCCTGTAACGCTGGTTCCAGAAAATTCTGTGCCCTCATTCTATGCTCCTATGACTCCTACATGCATAGGCACATGATTCTCAAAGGTACACATAGACCTAAGAATAACGACTAACTAACCCTTGTTTTGCTTTGTTTTAGAAAGAAAGTTAGTAGAGGGCTATGGATAAGATCCCAAATGTTGGAAGGCTGAGGCAGGATTAGAATGGGATATATAGCAAGACCCTATCCAAAAAAAAAAATTAAATCAAGGGCTTGTAATAAAGACTCATAGGAACCACCACAACTTTGTAAGAACTAAAGACAAGAAAACAAGCCCCTTTTTAAATAATAAAATTAACAAAATTCTCTCCAAAGTGCTACTACATGAGTGGAAAATTAGACTGTTTTATTTATTTACTCTGGCTGTCTGTTGTAGGTGCTGGTGTGGAAAAAAACATGAAAATAACAGAGAAGCAGCTAGTGCCCTCTAAAGAGGAAAAAGAGTAAGGTACACTGTGTGTGTGTGTGTGTGTGTTGGTGAACACTTTGCAAAAAGAAATTGACTTGCTGAATTGCTTTCAATTTGTTCATGTATGCCTTTGTGCAACACTGAGATTGTTCTTTTCTCAACAGCGATGGCTTGAGATATAATACCAAAAACGAGAAAGAAAAAAGTGAGCTAAATTTCATCAAAATTATGGAATTCTGCAAAAATACTGTTAAGAATGGAAGACAAGCCAAAAACAGAGAAAACAGTTGTAAAACCCATGCCTGAAAAAGTATTGGCATTAAAAAATATACAAAAACCTCTCTTTGTTTACTTTTAAAATTATGTGTCCATGTGTCTCCGAACATGAGTGTAAGTGCCTGTGGAAGCCAGAAGAGGGTGTTGGAAACCCTGGAGCTGGAGTTGCTGGCTATTGTGAGCTGTCCATGTGGTGCTAGAACAAAACCTTTATAAAAACAACACTCGTTCCTACCAGCTGAGCCATCTTTCCAGTGCCCAAAGAAGTCTTAACCTTCATGCGGTAAGAAACACATTAGCAATAGATGGGAAATAAAATAAGGCTGAAGAGGTGACTCATGCATAAAGGCCAGAACTGAAGCAAATGAACTCCTGGAAGCTCCCCTCTAGTGTCCATTCACATGCCTATGCACATACAAATATATTCAGGTCAATAAATGTAGCTTTAAAGACTTAGTTCTTTGTCCTAGTGTGGTGGCACACACCTTTAGTTGCAGCACTTGAGAGGCAGAGTTAGCCAGATCACTGTTGGAGGTTAGCCTTGTCTACATAGTGAGTTCCAAGCCACCCATGAATACATGGTGAGAACCTATCTAAAAATAAGTTAAATAAATAAATAAAATTTGATCTTTTTACTATATCTTGTGACATAACTCTTATACAACTGAAAAGAAATTGAAAGAGGTACCAAAAATACAACTGTCAATGGTGTGGGAAGACCTTCTGTCTATGTGTTGCTTTTATTGGTTAATGAATAAAGAAGCTGCTTTCGGCCAATGGCTTAACAGAATAAAGACAAGTTGAAAGAGATGTGAGAGAGAGAGAGAGACAGAGAGAGAGAGAGAGACAGAGAGAGAGAGACAGAGAGAGAGAGA